AAGAAACTGGAAAAGAAAAAGAACAAAATATCCAAAAACTGTGAGACAACTGTGAAAGGTGCAATATACATGTCATGGAAATACAAGAATAGAGAATGGAACAGAAGAAATATTTTAAACAATGATCGAGAATCTCCTAAAATTAATAATCTACATAATAAAGCAAGCAAGCATCAGAGAATGAACGAGGTTAAACAAGAACTTTTCTTTTTCTTACTTCATGTAACAAATAAGAGTTTGTTCGAAATAACAGCAAAAACGCATCTGATCATATATTCATATATACAAACATACACATATGTGTACTACGGATGCTTCTGTAAGTGACACGAGTGACAGCAATGATGCCTGGGACGAGAGGGAGGAACTGCAAGTCTCATGCTATCATAAGACACTCGCACTACCCGTGAAGTGCTATGCTTATTTGAAAGCAGACTGGGATTAGCTGTAAATGTATGCTATAAACTCTAGGGCAACCACTAAAATGCCAGAAAGAAGAAAAGTGTAACTGATATGCTAAGGAGGGAAAATGGAATCTTATATACAAGACACTCAAAATCACAAAAGGCAGAAACAGGGTAGAAAACAAAGAGGAAAAAAGAACAAGGGCAACAAATAGAAAACAGTAACATGGCAGATTTTGAGGCAACTGTATCAGTAATCACCTTAAACAACAATGGACCGATTAAAAGACAAGAGATTGTCAGAATGGATCAAAAAACAAGACCAACTGTACTTCATTTACAAGAAACCCAGTTTAATACAAAGATACATATACACTAAAAAGGGACAGAGAAAAATATGTCATATTAACACTAATTAGAACACTCAAAGTAACTATATTAATTTTAGACAGAGCAGACTTCACAGCAACAAATGTTATAACATCAAGGATAAGGAGGAATATCATGTAATGATAAAGAGGTCAATTCTCCAAAGAGATGCAACAGCTCTTAGCATATATACATCTAACAGAGCATCAGAACACAAGAGGTGATGGAGGGAGGGGATGGGTGGTGAGCACCTCGCCATTCCCGAAATCTTCTGGCCGCTGGCTCATTGCCGCCAGATCTGGACACAAAGGAAGAGCCAGCAAGGATATCTCCAGATGCTGACAAGCTTGTAGGACTTACAGAGGACTGTTCACAAGGCCAACCAGAGGCCCAAGAGCCAACCCTGTCCAAGTCCTTAGGAGAGGCTCTGCAGTAGACCCTGCGCCAGAACTGGGAGGAACATGTTTCTTCAGCACCCTGCCATCTCCATGAGAACAAGCCCCTGGTTAGCCTGCCAGAGGATGAGATAGCACAGGGAGGAGAACTAAGTTGCCTCAGTGGACACCCAGCCCACCCCCAAAAGCAGAGCAACCTAGTCAACCAACAGCTGACCACACATGCCTGAAGCACCCCAGCTGAGAACAGAAGAATGGCCCGGCTGAGCCCAGCCTTAATGGCTCACCAGCTCAATTATGAGCTAAATTTTGGGGTGGTTTGTTATGCAGCAATAGCTAACTAACACCCAGTGCAGACAGGATGCCGGGATTCAATGGAAGGTTGACTACTAGTTACCTGGCAAACTAGGGACCCTTACAGGTACTGAATTTTCTTCCCTGTATTTAAAGTTGGATCTCTTGTTACATGATGTTGAGTAATAAAGAAATGCATGTGAAAAAAAAAAAAATACAAGAGGCAAAACCCGACAGAACTGCAAGGAGAAATAGATGAATCCTCCCTAACATGGGAGATGAGTAACTGACGGATCCAGCAGGCAGAACAGTAGCAAGGATAGAGCTGAGATCAACAGCACCCGGACACAGCTGCCATTCAACAACAGGATAGAGTCTTCCCAAGCTAACAGGGAACCTTCGCCAAGACAGACACCACTCTGGACCATAAAACATACCTTAACACATTTGAAAAAACACATTTCTACATAGCACGAGTCAAAGAAGAAATCCCAAGAGAAATAAAAAATATTTTAAACCAAATGAAAATGGAATGTATCAAAATTAGTGGGATACAGGAAAAGCAGTGCTTAGAGGAGGAAAATTTATACCACTGAATGCATATATTGGAAAAGATCGAATGTCAATCATCTAAGCCTCCACCAAAGAAAACTAGAAAAAGAGCAAATTAAATCCAAAGAAAGCAGAAGAAATGATAAAAATGAGAGCAGAAATCAATGAAATTGAAAACAGGAATCAATACAGAAAAAAAATCATGAAAACCAAAAGCTGGCTCTTTGAAAACGTCACTAAAATCTATAAGTCTCTAGCCAGGCTAAGAAAAGAGAGAACACAAGTCACATTCATGTGCCAAATAACGACATTTCGGTCAGTTATGGTGGGCCCGTAAGGTTATAACGGAGCTGAAAGATTCCCACTACCTAGTGACACCACAGCCTCTGTAGTGCAACCCGTTACTTACTTGCGTCTCTGGTGATGCCAGTGCAGACCAATCTCCTGCACTGCTAAAGGCATACAAGTATAGCCCAACAGATTACGTACAGTACACGATACTTGATAATGAGACTAAACAACGACATTACTGGCTTATGTATTCACTATACTTTTATCATTAGAGTTTGCTCCTTCTCCTTATTAAAAAAAAATTTTAACTGTAAAACAGTCTCAGGCAGGTCCTTCAGGAGTATCCGGAAGGCACCGTTACCATAGGCGATGACAGTTCCATGAATCTTAGTGCCCAGTGAGACAGTATGTGGAGGTGGAAGATAGTGAGGATGATCCTGACCCTGTGTAGGCCTAGACTAATGTGTGTGTTTGTGCCCTAGTTTTTCTTTCCTTTTTTAAGAGACAAGGTCTTACTACATTCTGGACCACTGTGACCCAGGCTGGAGTGCAGTGGCATAATCACAGCTCACTGTAACCTCAAATTCCTGGGCTCAAGTGATCTACCTTGGCATCCCAAGGTGCTGGGATTACAAGTGTGAGCCACCATGCCCTGTCTGTGTTATTAAACAAAAAGTTTAAAAAGCAAAAAAAACAAAAAATAAATTTAAAAATAGAAAATAGCTTATAGAATAAGGATATAAAGAAAATATCTTTGTACAGCTATACAATGTGTTTGTGTTTTAAACTAAGTGTTATGCAAGAGTCAAAAAGTTAAAAAAATTTAGAAGTTTATAAAGTAAAAGTAAGCTAAGGTTAATTTATTATTGAACCAAGAAAAAATGTTTTTCCCCAAGACAGGGGCTCGCTGTCGCCTAGGGCAGCTGAAATGCAGTGGCACCTCAACCTAACGAGGACTACAGGCATGCACCACCACGCCTGGCTAATTTTTTGACCTTTTGTAGAGACGAGGGTCTTGTTTGCTATATTGCCCAGGTTGTAACGCATAATTTGTATATATACTATATATTGTATTCTCGCAATAAAGTGAGGTAGAAAAAAGAAAATGTTTACTGCACTGTATTTACTGATTTCATAAATTTATGTTGCCTACTCACAAGATGAATCCTCTGACTGAAGTGGGGGCAACCACAGCTGCAGATGCCAATCTACAGGACACAGCAAGCAATCCAGCGTCACCTTCTAATGTCACGACTCTCCTCTGCTTCCTGCGAGCACTTCCAGCATTGTACTTCTTAGGGGTCCCATGGTCTTACTCAAGGTTTATGGCATTATGCTCAACACAAGGAAAACTATTCAAGAACCACAAGACCATTTTATCTTTTTTAAAAGAGATGGGGTCTTGCTCTGTCACCCAGGCCAGAGTGCAGTGGGCCCCATTATAGCTTACTGTAACCTCGAATTCCTGGGCTCAAGTGATCCAACCACCTAAGCCTCTTTTCTCCCCAGAAACAGGGTCTCCCTATGTTGCCCAGTATATATTCAAACTGCTGGGCTCAGGCAATCCTCCCACCTCAGCCTCCCAAATAGCTGGGACTACAGGTGCACACCACCACACTCAGCTGTGTCCATAAGTTTTGATGAATTTTAACTTTTCCTAATAATAGATATGTGTATATCTTATGGTAGTAAATGATAAAGCAGACTAGTGTCTACATGTACCTTATGCATTTGTAACATATCTTTTAATTAATTAATTCATTTCTTAGGGTCTTGCTATGTTGCCCCAGGCTAGAGTGCAGTGGCATCATCATAGCTCACTACAACCTGAAACTCCTGAGTTCAAGTGATCCTCCTGCCTCAGCCTCCCAAGCAGCTGGGACTACAGGCACGCACCACCACTCCCAGCTACTTTTTATGTTTTTGTAGAGACATGGTCTCCCTCTGGCTTAGGCTGGTCTCAAACTTCTGGCCTCAAGCAATCCTCCTATCTGGGCCTCCCAGAGTGCCAGGATTATAGGCATGAGCCACTGCACCCAGCCTTTCTCTTAAATTTTTTTTGACATTTCTAGGCTAGAAGGTTCATCTGCAAGTTTTTTCAAATTGTCACAAATCTTCAGAAATTTTCCAATTGAGTATTTTCCATGAGTAAATTGGACTTGCAGTTCAAATCTGTGCTCAAGAGTTAACCGTACAGTATGATTCTAACCGTATGATAATCTAGAAAAGGTAAAGCTATAGAAAAAAGACCAGTGGTTACCAGGGGTAGGGGAAGGAGGGATAAATAGGTAGAGCACAGAGGAATTTTAGGGGCAGTGAAACTACTCTGTATAATACTACAATGGTGGATACATATTCTTGTACATGTTTCCAAACCCACAGAAAATACAACACCCAAGAGTGAATCCCCATGTAGACTGTGCGCTGTGGGCAATAATGATGACAGTGTAGATCCACTGCTTGTAACACATACACGCCTCTGGGGGGGATGCTGATAATGGGGGAGGCTGTGCGGGGAAGGGAATACATGGGAAATCTCTATACTTTCAGTTTTGCTATGTACCTAAAACTGCTTTAAAAAATAAGTTTATTAGTTTTTTTAATAAAATGCAGGCATGGCTTAACATTAGTCAAAATGGCCAACTCCATCAAATTACTAAGATTCTCCTTTCTCTAAGACATTTCTCTCACCAACCTCTGCTTCTTTTTTCTTTGCACGGACTTTCTCCACTTCCATAAGAATCTTCTGGGATTCATCCACATTTCCTTCAGCCCCTAGCTGCTCAGCTTTAGCAAGAAGTTTTCCTATTTCTTCATTCAATTCATGTACTTTTTCTGCCTGAAAGGAGAGAGAAAGAAATTGGTAAGCAGACATCTAAAAACACAAGAGTTTGAATGCAAAGGAAAGAAGTGTTTCTCCTGCTGCATTTGCAATTTGTCCTACTGACAGCAAATGGAACAGATAAAGATCCACACATGCATCCTTATTGCCACCACTGGGGTTCTGACCCTAACTAAACCTGTCTGCTGTATTTCAATGAAGGCAGTGGCATCTCTGTCACCTCAAATGTTGTTCCAAGGAGTATATATATGTGGTCATTTTCCAGGCTTTTTTTATGTCTTCTATAACAGTTCAATCTTCTGGGTATGGATAATAAAATGTCTAGGTTTAAACACACAAACTTGGGTGGGCGCCATGGCTCACACCTATTATCCCAGCTACTCAGGAGGCTGAGGAAGGAGGATCGCTTCAGCCCAGGAGTTTGAGGTTGCTGTGAGGGAGGCTGATGCCACTGCACTGTAGCCTGGGAGACAGAGCAAGACTCTGTCTCAAAAAAAAAAAACCACACACAAACTTGTGCTGTAAGCAAAATACCTAATTACTGAGATTTACCTTTAGAAACAAAATAGCACTTCTGCTATTTTTCAATTGCTAACCGCAATTAGCAACTGCATATATCCTAAGAAATGCTTTCTATTCAAAACTGAATAGAAAAAACAATGGACTCAGTTCCACTAAAGGGGGAAACAAAAGAATGATGCAGCTGACACTCAGGCTAATTATCATACACACAGATCTACCTCCTTCTTCATTCCATGATATGGATACACTGCAGTTTGATCATTTCCCACTAAATTTTTCCTGTTTCCTGCTGTATGTGGGGATGTTAAACAAAGTTTAAAAAACATGTATAGAGGGTGAAAAAACAGACAGGAAAAAAAAAAATAAGGACAGAGGCAGCAGCTCCTAAGGGGGTGAGTTCACTGACACACAGGTGCCTGGTGACAGCCTTCAGTCCTTCCTAGGGTAAGGCAGAGAGTACTATCTATCCTACGGTCTCGCAATCAGTGCTGCTGGTGAGTTACTAGCTGCTGACAACCCAGTATTTGCAAGATAGTGATTTACAGTGAAGCCACCAGGCATACCTTTGCAGAAACTTCCGCACTGATCTCCTCCTGTGTTTCCGCCAGCCGTTTCTTGGCAAGCTCAGTTCTCCGATCACATTCTGCGATAAAGGACTCCAAGTGATCCATTGCCTAGCACAGGAAAAGCAGAGCTATGATCATTTATGTGTACAGTCTCAGTACTATTTGTTTGACAGGAAATACACTCCTGCGTTGGTTTCTTAAAGCCTGCAGGTTCAATGGAAAGATCTTAATCTACACTGCAGCTAACACATTCATCATTGCATTCAATTAAGGAGATCTGTTAAACCAAATGATTGTTCAGAAGCAGATTTCTCATCCAATTTACTTGTTTACTTCCAAAACTTATAAAAGGATCTCCGACTCTCAACATTACCAAGAAGTTTTGAGGAAGATTAGAACACGTGGCCATAATCAATAGAGTCTCTGAGGGTTACAGAAGGCTGACCCGAATGCTAGAGGCCTCTTCTGGAGCTGTGGGAGATGCACATGGTGTACTCATTGGTCTCTGTGAGCCATGTAAATACTAGTCCCTCATGTTCTGAGGGTAGAGTCCCCCCTTTCACCTCAAAAACAAAACAGAACAAATATTACTGAGAGCTGTGAATACATTTAGACATTTGTCTATTGTCTAAAGTAGCAGGAAAACTGGTTACTATTTACCCAAAGAGATAAAAAAAAAAAAGAAACGAAACTCTAGAAATCAAATTGTTCTGAAAAGAGTTGGTAGGAAACAACCAGAAACTAATGAGCACGCCGTCACATATGCTCAAGTTAATGTGCCATAACTAAACAAAGGCCAGTGTAATTTCAGAAAAACACACAAGCAGGACATCACTTTTCGAATAAGAAACACCAAGTTACACCATAAGTCAGCTGGCTAATGTCAGCATGATGTCAAATGTGACAGTGCATTTAGCAGTGATGACATGTTTCCACAGCATGATCTATTACCAAAAAACAGAGAAAAGAAAACTCTGAGTGGAGATAAGCCAGATGAAAGTTAGGACAATAGACCAAGAAGTGGTCATCTATACCCCTGGTCCTAAGATGGACAAGAAACAGTGGGGACAGCTGTAAGAAAGTGCTCCACAAACACCAGTGCAGCACTGGAACAGATCACAGCGACGCTGGAGAGGGCTATGATACCCTCCAACAATCTTAAACATCTTTTTCAAATAAATTCATGCTTAGAAGGTCAAGACAGGGAAAAAGCTCCTGTGACGGTGCCAAGTGTCCCAGAAAGCTGCGAAAGTGCTACACTCTCCTCACTCACGGAGCACAACTCCCAGGTATTACTCTATAATTTTGTAATTCAAAAATTTCCTCCTACTAGTCATCCAAATGTTCTCTGGTAAAACATTTCACTATTTTCAAATCAGAGAATCAAGAAAACAAATGATCTGGCATGTGTTTGCTCATACACATTTGTTCGCAAATACGCCGTGTATGCTGTACTTCCTGGAAAGGGGGAGAGCTGGCTGGAGCTCACCAGAATCAAAGTGCCAGTGAACTGGTGAGGGTCTCTGTGCCATCTGTGCTCACCTGAGACGACAGACCAGCCCGAGACGTACCAGGTTCACCCGCGCAGTGGTCCTCTACTCTCTCCCCAAGCAGAGAAATCACACACCTCAGACAGACCCAAGGATCCACTCATCAGGGTCAAACGGGGAACAAACATCTGACAACCTGGCGATGCGTTTACCAATAAAAGCACTTACCTGCACCTTAAGGAGAATCCAAACTGGCCGTGGATTCAGATGTCTGATAACCTAAAAACTCAATGGCAAACTTCGTAACAGAGAACAAGCAGACCATGAAAAGGTCTTTTAGCTGCCAAGTTCTTTAAAAGGTGGCTCTCTCTGTTCCGGTGCCCCACTCCCTCCCTTCAAAGTGTTTCTCAATTTCAGATAAAACTTTCGCAGAGGGACTCTCAGAGTCTGTCTTTCACAGATGGTGAAACTGAAATATACCCATCCAACTGCTAAGTAACAGTCAGGAGACAAGGACCTTTGTGGGTTTGCTCCAAAGCCGTCAGCACCAGTCCAGTTTACAGACCAACAGAAGAGGTAAAACCACCTGCTCTCAGTCAGAACTATCACAGCGACAGGTGCCCTGTGCCATACTGAGCGCTCCACATGCCTCAAACCCCTGCAGAGGGACTCAAAATCTCTAACCCAGGATATCTCACCTAGAAAAACATAACTATTATACTGTGTTTATTTGTAAGATAGAAAAACTAGGTATAATCAGAACCGGTCTTACTTGGTCTACTAAAGACAGTCTGGAAATAAGCTGATGGGTGTTGTTCTGAAAATCTAGCAAAACATCACAAACCAAGAAAATCTGGGGGAAACGTGCCACAAGTCTCACTCTTGAGCTCAAGCTGACAAAGAAATACCTTTTTATACCTCTGTGACTGGAGAACACAAAAGTCTGGTAACTAACTTGCTATGTTAACAGAGACATGTAAAAACGGCAACTACCTTGCAGTCCTAACACTTTGGGAGGCTGAGGCAGGAGAACTGCTTCAGCCGAGGAGTGAGACCAGCCTGGACGATAGCGAGATCCCATCTCTACAAAAAATGGTAAAATTAGCCAGGTGTGGCGGCACACACCCATAGTCCCAGCTACTCTACAGGCTGAGGCAGGAGGATCGCTTGAATCCAGGAGTCCGAGGCTGCAGTGAGCTATGATGATGCCAACGCACTCTACCCCCAGGCAACAGAGAAAGACCCATCTCAAAAGAAGAAGAAAAAAAAAGCAGCTCCCATACACCGATGGTAGGAGCATTCACCCTCTGGAGAGTACTTTGATACTACCTACTAAAATGACAAAGATACACACCTTTCTGACCCAACAGTTCTACTCCTGGGAATACACCCCTAACATGGCAGTGTGCAGTGCAGCACCACGACCATCAATGCGGGACTGGTCATGTAACACAGACACCCATGCGGTCACAAAAAGGAGGAAGAAAACTCTTTAGGCAGGGCGTGGTGGTTCACACCTGTAATCCCAGCACCGTGGCAGGCTAAGGCGGGAGGACCGCTTGAGGTCAGAGGTTTGAGACCAGCCTCAGCAAAAGTGAGACCCTGTCTCTACTAAAAATAGAAAAAATTAGCTGTACCATGGTAGTACACGCCTATACTCCCAGCTACTCAGGAGGCAGGAGGATCGCTTGAGCCCAGGAGTTTGAGTTGCTGTGAGCTAGGCTGATGCCCTAGTACTCTAGTCCGGAGACAGAGCAAGACTCTGTCTCAAAAAAACAAAAGTGGTGGGGGAGGTGTAGAATAGGTGTATAGTAGACTACCATGTGTGTACAAGGAAAAAATATACAGATATACTTACCTCCTCTGGTATCTACATAAACTCTAAAGGAAACAGAAGAAACTTAACAACTGGCTTACCTCTGGAGGCAACCAGGTGGCTGATAAACAGAACTAGAGGGAGGTTTTCACAACATACCTCCTGCATCTTTTAAACTGAAAACACATGAATGCTCTACTTATTTTAAAAATTAGTAACAGATACTGCAATCTTAAAGAAATAATTGATCTAGGCCATAATCTTCAACAGCTAATTAAAGCGTTAGGCCAAGGGCTGATGGGGACCTTTACAATTAACAGGTCACGTGCTCACTTCAGCAGCACACATACTAAAAACTGAAAACGACACAGAAAAGACTAGCATTGGCCCCTGTGCAAGGATGACAGGTCTTTAAAAAAAATAACATTTAAAGAAAAAATAAAAGTTAATAAATTAAAAAAAAAATTAACAGGTCAACTGGTTCCAATTCCTGACCCCACATATCAACAAGTCTCCTACTGTGAACCAACAAGAACATAGTTCTGTTTCTGAAATATTCTTTTTTTGTTTTTGTTTTTTAAGGAGACAGGTTCTTACTCTGTAGCCCAGGCCAGAGTACAGAGGCATCGTCATAGCTCACTGCACCTGCGAACTCCTGGGCTCAAGGGATCCTCCTGCCCCAGCCTCCTGAGTAGCTGGGACTACAGTGTGCGCCACCACATCTGACTAATCGTTTAACTTTTTGTAGAGACAGGGTCTCGCCATATTGCCCAGGCTGGTCCGAACTCCTGGCCTCAAGTGATCTTCCCGCCTTAGCCTCCAAAAGTGGTGGGATTCCAGGCGTGAGCCACTGTGCCTGGCCAGTTACCAAACATTTTAATATGAGCTTCTTATAAGGTCAAAAATGATTTTTTCTTTGAACATGTGTACTAGAAATACTCAATTTTTTTAAAAAATGACTTTTAGGGAGTTGGGGGAAGGGGTGGCTACCTTTTTAATTGAACAAGTAACTCCTATATATGGTAAATTTTGACACAGTACAAAAAGGTGTCCAATCTGCCCTAGCCCTCTAACCTACTTCCCCAGGACAAGAGTGTTCATAATCTCTTGGGTTCCTCTAAAACTACTCTCTACACACGTAAGCATGTCAACGAGTGTACAACACCTTCCCTTAAAATAAAAAACACACACACACTACAGAAACATCACATCATACTTTGCTTTTCCTCTTGACAACTTACCTTAGGGGTAGGTTCATATCAGTACACACTGAACTACCTCATTCTCTTCACAACTTTGTTTCCTTTCACCGAAATGAAGAGCTAGCTATGACAACCAGTTCCTTACTGAGGAAGTCTACTTAGCTCCTGCCTTTAATAATCTGGAGCAAATTTACCTTTGTGCATATGCAAGTACCACTTAGATGTGCTCTCAGAGCTGGCACTGCTGGGATGTGCTTGTACATCTTGAGAAGCTGCTAAATTATCCAGGAGGAGTTACCAGGATCACTCAACTCTCCACCTCTTTAGTTCAGAGTCAGGGTGAGCAAAGGATTAGATGCTTGCTAGGAAACGTCCTTTTGTGTCCTTGGCTCATTTTTCTAATGAGCTATTTATGTATTATATAGGCATATATTCATCTATATCGTTCTTGCCAATCATGAACAATCTTATATATGAAGGAAATTAGCTCATCCTCATACATACTGCAAATATGTCCCAGTGTATTGACTTATTTTATGTGAATATTTTTAATCCAACTTTGAGGTATAATTAACAAAAACTGGACATATTCAAAGTGCACAATGTGATGTCTTGATATTATGTATACAATCACACTAATTAACATAATCATTACCTCACATAGCTACTATTTCATTTACTTACTTTAAAAGAGACAAGGTCTTGCTCTGTAGCCTATCCTGGAGAGGTGGCACGACCACAGCTCACCGTAACCTCAAATTCCTGGGCTCAAGCTATCCTCCCACCTTAGCCTCCCGAGTAGCTGGGACTACAGGTGTTTGCCACTAAGCCAGGCTAACTTTTTATTTTTTTGTAGAGATGAGGTCTCCTTATGTTGCCCAGGCTGGTCTCAAACTCCTGGCCTCAAGGGATCCTCCCCGCTCGGCCTCCCAAAGTGCTGGGAGACAGGCATGAGCCACTGGGGCCAGCCCTATCTTTTTTTGGTGGTGGGAATACTTAAGATCTACTCTTAGCAAATTTCAAGTATATGATATACCATTATTAACTACAGTTACCATGATGTACATTAGAATCTCCAGAACTCTTTATAACTGAAAGTGTGTACTCCTTGACTAACATCTCCCCTATTTCCCCCACCCCTTTGTGTATAGGACTTTTTGATGTGCTAATACTTTAAATTTTATATAGACAAATGTATGTATCTTTCTCTTAAAGTGTCTATGCTTTATAACACCTCAAGATGACAAAACAAAATACATTTTGGGGGGACCCAACTTGGCATTTTTCCAACTGGCCAAAGCATAGTTTTAAACGTTGTTTATCGACACCCTTCTGCTACACACTGGTTGAACACACACCCTTCATAATATACTATGTCAAATTACTATATATTTTTCAATCTCCTTCTGTGGTCTCAATTTCTTTCATTCATTAATTCCTTCTCTAGCATTAATCAGGCCATTTAAAAAGTGAACTGACATTCTGGTTTAGGTTTATGATCAAAAAAGGTATATTCTGCTAAATTTGACTGGCTTTAAAAAAAAAAAAGAAAAAAGTATATTACTAAAACTGAGATTTTAACCGATACATCTGTTCACCTGTCAGAGTTTCTGAAACCTGATGTCTTAAGATAATGGCCTCTTTAAATAAACATTGGCAGGTTATTAAAGAAATAAAACTTGAAATATAAAAAACTTCCATTTCCAAGCCCCAGCTGTTAATTGAGCTGTTGGTAGAGACATCTTTAGTTAATTCAAAGATGCAACACTGAGGGTACACTATGCTGTTAAAGAATGTATTTGAAAAACAAGTTCAGTTTTAATCACTTTTTAAGACTACTAGTTTAAACAAATTATTCTGCAATATCACTGGTGACCTTTTCCTTGAGTTCTGTGCTTCTACTGGCTCCCTCATCCCATGCTCAATCTCTGCCCACTCTTCACTCAGGGACCTGAACGGCACCAAACCTGCAGCCCAGCCTGGGGTGCAGTGGCACTGACTCTGTCATACTAGTGATGGAGGATAAAGGATAAAAAGAATTAAAATCAAGCGACTCTAAATCACATATTCTGGACAGGGACAGGAGTGAAAACTGGTCCTAAAGAAAAACATCTTATATATTACAATGGTTTGTGGCCCAGTAAAGGATCACGGTACCACAGTACATAAACACATGTGCAGGGTATCTGTGGTATCAAAATTCCACTAGCAGGGGACAATTAGGGGAAAAAGTCTAAAAAAGGCTCCTTTGGGCCAGGCATGGTGGCTCATGCCCAAAATCCTAGCACTTTGGGAGGCCGAGGCCAGAGGATCACTCCGGGCCAGTTTGAGGTTGCAGCGAGCTATGATAATGCCACTGCACTCTAGCATGGGAGACAGAGCAAGACCCTGATTTTGGGGGACGGTGGGCTCTTTTGGAGGACAATGGGAAAAAAGCTGAAGAATGCTACTCTACATTGATTGATTTACTAATGTAAATTAAATATGGCAACTGTTAAAGACTAAATAAATGCAAATTAAGACTACAATGACATGCCATTTTATAACCACTAAATTGTGAAAATTAAATAGTCTGATAATACAAAGTGCTGGTGAGAGTATTTGCACTGTTACTGGGGGTGTAAATTGATACAGCCACTTTATTAAACAAGAAACAAGAAAAAGAGCAACACTACAGAATTATCTTACAAAGATGAACATAGGCACCCCCACAAGCCAGCACTTCCTCTCCTAGGAACATACCCTAGATAAATCATTATATACATGACCAAGAAGATATTAAAAAATATTCACAATATTTTTCGCAATAGCAAAGAAACTGGAATCAGTCCAAATGTCTATGAATAAAGAATAGTTTGAGAAATATTTAAGCAGCAATGAAAACAAACAATGCTCAAAAACATGGGTAAACAGAAACATAATATTGAAAAAAAATCAAGTTTTAAAGAGTATAAAGCCATTTTCATAAATCTCAAAAATAAGAATAAACATATTATCCAAGGAATCATAAAAATATGTAATAAAAATATTTTTAAAAGTAAATGATACATATAGCATTGGGATAGTGATGGGGTGGTAGACAGATATAAAATGGAATTTGCCATGTTCTAGCTCTCAGCTAGAGTGATAGTACAAGCATCTATTTTATTATTTTGCTTCTTAACTTATATATGTTATGTTATTCTTGTCAGTTCAATATTTGGTTCTTTGCAGTAGGAATGAATCATTATTGAATAAAACTTACATCCAATTCAAAAAACAGGTCTCTTTCTTTACTTGCAATCTCATAATCTGCTCGGAGGGCCAAGTCGTGGATTTTGGTACATTCTCCTAAATCCATGCGCTGGGGGAAAGAAACAAAAAATTTACACATGAACACTGACCCATTGTAGAAAGCATATAACATGACTTGGTATATTTCAACTATCACCAAATAAATATTTTTGTTTGTTTTGAAATGGATCTCGCTCTGCTGCTGAGGCTAGAATGCAGTGGGCCAATCACAGCTCCCTGCAACCTCGAACTCCTGGATTCAAGTGATCCTTCTGCCTCAGCCTCCAAAGTAGCTGGGACTAGAGGCGCATGCCACCGTACCCAGCTTAAACACTATTTTTTAAATATTAAAACTATAACAAGAAAATTAAGAAGCAAGATATGGCTGAGAAGCCTTCTCTTTTATTATTATGATTATTTTCTACTTGGAACTAATGCAGTTAACAGTATAAAGGTTTGTATCTCTTTTAGGCCCAGAGACAATGGGACTGTAATCATGAAAATTACATTAATTAGCTTTTGCCAGTTGTATTTTTGCATCAGTCTATACATTCAGTAAATGGTAACATGAGTGGCTGTGGGGGATTGACAAGGAAAGGGCCAGAAATAGCATCAATTCAGCAAGTTTCTAGGCATTCCTTATTGCAGTCTTGACTACCCAAGATGTTCAATGTCTGACATAGCGACAAGGAAGGGAAAGAGCAGACAGAAACTGGGTTTTGACAATTACAACACAACCTAACACTTGGCTTTGTGTAGCTCTTTGTATATCAAAGGGAATAAAGCAGAATAGGCTGACTCAGAACCAGATAAATTCTCCTAACATGGTCCTAACCTGGCAAATGACCGTGGACATATAATTGGCCCACTCAGTTGCCCCATTTGAGAAACAGAAGTCTCTATTACTAAAACAAAACGATCTGTGTTATCAGTAAGTTTAGCTTGATGTGCTATTGTGTTCTAGCCACACGGATAATACAATTAGACAACAGTGTATATTTTTAACCTAAATCCTGAGTACAGGACTCTGTGCAGACACCTCCCACCTCCAGCCATCTACACAGCAACACAGAAGTTCGTATGCTGAGGATCATAGTGCCAAGTTATGGACTGCATGTTAACAAAAGCCAACACCCCAACTGGGAGACACCCCCAATCGGACAAAAGAACACATCTATATAATTAGTAAAAAAAAAAAAAAAAAAAAAAAAAAAAAAGAATGATGAGTCCAGAACTTTACTTTAAGCCCCAACTACAACTGTATT